ACCCAGAATTCCAATGGGTGGTGGAGACTGTGGGAACTGTGGGATAGCTACCCACAGTGCACCGCTCCGTAAGTCAATGCTAACCATGGTAGTGAGGACGCACTCCGCCGACTTAATGCGCTTAGTGTGGACATACTAATATCGACTGTATAAAATCGATTTCTAAAAATCGACTTCTATAAAATCAACCTAATTTTGTAGTGTAGACATACCCTGTTTAGAGTCCTTCTGATCTGTGGTTTCCCAGACAAGCTGTGTAATTTGGAGCCCAGAGAGTAAGATCTTTATAGTTATGCAACGCTCTGGCGTGGTCTCTTAACAACCCTGAAGTGTTTATCAGAAGGTGTCTTATGTGAACTCTGTCCCCTTTCCTGCTTGTTCTTTCAATAGCCTGCTAGTAAACTAAATCAACATATTCATACAATAAGCATCTCAATAACCAGGTCACAATACAGGATTCATAAATTACTACAGAGCAACTCCAGGTCTGTCACAATGGGCGTTGAAAGGGAAGAGGTCTAGTACAAACAGGTCTTAACTGAGGCTCTTCCACTGCCAGCATCACAAAAGACAGTTCAATTGTAATCACCTGCCATCAGTACTAGCCTCAAACTCCAGCTGTTATAAAATTTCACATAGCTCATTCCAGTAGTCTGAAAAATTGTGCAACTGGCTCCAGGTTTCTTTAAACTGTCACTTTCATTGCATATGTTAATTTGTGACACACTCACATATGATTACAGCTTTCTACCTGAGTTTCCATATTTTTATATAACAAGCTAGCCTCCCCTGTTCCCTAGATATAATCAGTTAAAGATTAAAATAGCACTGAAACAAGCACTTTATTAGTCAAATGAATTCATTCAGTTTTATTCATTTACAACGTTTAAAAAAATCTTTTCAAACTAAATGGAGATATTTCCCTATATAACAAAAGTTTACAACTCAGAACCCAGTTCTCAGCAGGAAAGTCATAATGAGGCCTACATTGCATTTACCCTTCCTGGAATTTGTTTTTTTAATGAACAATAAGACAGTTCATCTTAAAATTTGCCTAAGACTTGGCTGTCTAAAGAGAGGTGTGAGCTGGGCAGTCCAGAATAAGGAATGCTAGGAGCAGCCAATTTATATCCAGGTGAAATGAGGCATATGCCAAAGCAGGGTGCTTCAGAAAAAACCCACCAGCCTGTTAGATAACATTTTCGCCTGTGAGAGATTAATAAACCACATGCACATCATTTGCCAAATTCACTGTTGCATGTTCCATTGTCTTTTTAAAACTCAACAATACAACCCATTACAGAAGAAAGAGTAGAGTGAGGTTCTATGCACAATACATTGATTAAACGGGGGGGGGAAATCTGAATTTTATCCTTTGCACTTATCCTCCATAGACTTCCCTATTTTTAAGAGGCTAGAAGAACAAAGAACAGATCTAAAAAGACAACAGACATCACGATATTTTAGCAATAAAAAGTTTGGTTAGCTCAAGCCACAGGAAAAAGGAAAAGCAGGAGTAGAAATTTTAATGACAGCCAGAAACTCTTTGTATTGTGGGCATGAAAGTCTGTTTCTCTCTCCAAGAGTGTGCTGAGGGAGCAACTCAAGGCAGGTATACTCTTAAAAGGCTAAGATACTACTACACCAGCGGGAGAGCTTCTCCCATCGACATAGTTAATCCATCTCCGCAAGAGGCGTAGCTATGTCAACAGGAAAACTCTCCCATCAACCTAGTGCTATCTACATGAGGGCTTAGGTTGGTATAACTGCTTTGCGCCGGGGTGTGGATTTTTCACACCTCTGAGTAACATAGTTATACTGATGTACGTTTATAGCGTAGACCTTGCCCTAGTTTCTTCCGCTCATTAAAAAGGTCAGAGAAATACAGCAGCAAGAGATACTCATCCCTCAATTCAGTTGCAAAACAAATGGGAAAGAAGAAAAGAATAAATATAAAACAAAACTGGAGACTGCCCTCCAGCTGCATTCTCCTCATTCTCACCTGCTACTAAGCTGCTTTGTAATAATACTTGGCTATCTATGACATTTGGCTCATGATCTCAAAGTGTTTTACATATACCGAGCCCTTAATAAATTAATCAAGTATTCTCCTCATTTTTCACATGAGGAAACTGAGGCAGAGAGACTGGCTAGCTCCAGGGTCACACAAGAAGTCTGCAGCAGATCTGTCAGTAGAACTCTGTCAGTCAACAGCTCTTGACTTCTGGTTTCCCGCTCTAACCAACAGACATGCCTCCCTCCCTAAAGTGTTATTGACATGGCCCTGTTCGAAAAAAGTTTCCGACTAGGTTAATTACTAGGCCTAACTAGGAGTAAATTGCATACAACATAGGAGTCAAGTTTCTTCACATCAGCCACATACACAAAGAGGACCCAGGAAAAAAAGAGGCGGTGTAGAGCAGGGGCGGGCAAACTTTTTGGCCTGAGGGCCGCATCAGGTTTCGTAAATTGTATGGAGGGCCGGTTAGGGGAGATGGTCGTGGCCCAGCCCCCACCTCCTATCTTCCCCCCCACCCGGGACTCCTGTCCCATCTAACCCCCGTGGTCCCTGACAGCCCCTATGGGACCCCTGCTCCATCCACACACATCCCACTCCCTGTCCCCTGACTGCCCCCTGACTCCCGCCATCCCATCCAATCCCTCCTCTTATTCCTGACGGCCCCACCCGGGAGCCCTGCCTCATCCAACCACCCCTTCTCATTGTCCCCTGACTGCCCCAGAACTCCTGCCCCCATCCAACCTCCCCTCCTTCCTGACTG